CTCAACAAAATTATAGAATATAATCTCTAGAATTCTAAAACAGAGTCGTTTAGGTTTCTAGAATTTAGAATCATAGAATGCTAATTTTTAGCCATTTGATATTAATAAATTCTAAGAAATCCTGATATTTTTGAAATATTGTTTTAAAATTCTAGCTTTAAAAAACTAGGAATTTCTGATTTGACTTTCAGCTATCCTAGATCTACAATAATCTGATTTCTGAAACTTTTTAAATTTTAAAATTTTAGACAAAAAATTTTTGATTTTAAAATTACAGAATTTCTTCTTAAATTCTCATACTTTCTTTTTCTAAACAGAATTGTAGAATATGATTTTTCGTCTGGAATCTAGAATTTTAGAATGTTAATTTTTAGCCATTTCTGATCCTGATATTTTTGAAATATTATTTTAAAATTCTAGCTCTAAAAAACTTGAAATTTCCGATTTTACTTTCAGCTATCCTAGATCTACAAAAATTTACGTTTCTCACTTCTGAAACTTTTAAAATTTTGAATTTTTTTATTCTAAAGTTACAGAATTTCTTCTTAGATTCTAAGAATTTCTTTTCTAAACAAAATTATAGAATATCATTTCAAGAATTCTAAAACAGAGTCGTTTATCATAAGCATTAGGTTTCTAGAATGTAGAATCTTAGAATGCTAATTTTTAGCCATTTGGTGTTAATAAATTCTAAGAAATCCTGATATTTTTGAAATATTATTTTAAAATTCTAGCTTTAAAAAACTAGACAACTTTTGAACTACAGAATGAAATAGTTTTAAACTTGAAATTTTTGATTCTTAGATTCTAAAATTTCTTTTTAGGGGGAATCCAAGTTTATTAGAAAATTTTAAAATTTGATTTGTGAAATAGCGTTAGGTTTCTAGTCTAGAATCTCAAAATTTTAGTAAACAAAAGTCCCAAAAAATCGCCAAAAATTTATTTCATCAACAAAATCACTCCATGGAACCCCTCGCCTCATCAGGACAAATGGCCTTCATAATCTGATTCATATCACCATTTGTGAAAATATCCCATTTCCTCTTCATAATTTCATCAATAGTCTCAAACTCATTATCTAGAAATTTCTGAAACTTGACACAATGCTCATTGAGCTGATTTTCCAACGCGTCCATCTCATTCTTAATAACTCTAAGAATCCTCTTTTTGAACTTGTCCAAATCCTCATTGGTCACATTTGTACTCCTGACACTTTTCACCACCTCCACACTCTTCTTCACATCCTGCTCAGAAAGCTTCACCATTGAGGAGAAATGCGAATTGGACTCAAATATCTCGTGTTCAAACACAAGCGTACTAATGGACTCGTCATGTAGTTTGGCCGCTGAAACCACAAGCATATTTTGTTTCACATCGTAGAGTCGCACATTCCCATTGGTCAGTCCCACAGCGACGTACCTATCATCAGGACTCAAGTCCATACACGTGACACGTGTGTTCAACTCCACGTGGAATTGACACGTGTGCTTCCCTCCATTGAAGTCAATCCCAGTGACTTTGATACAATCCCCGCACATGACGAGGTAGTTCCCACAGGATGACATAGCAATTCCCGTGATGGGGGAATTCCCGAGTCCCAAATTGGCGAGTTCAATCCCGATTTGGACGTCCCAAAGTCCCACTCTGTGATTACTTAACGCCACAGCCACCCGATTTGGCACCAACGGATGGCTTCGCATATTAGTACACGTGGCCACTTGTTTGTACGTCTTCGAGTCCAAATCCGAGAACACGTGTAAAGTACTCGCGTCCACGCCACACAATTGTTGATCATTGGCCGTGAAGTCCAAAAACTTGATCGCTTCATTGATCGTGTACGAATTTACGACTTTGCGACTTTTCGTGTCGTAAATGAGCACATTGCCGGTTTGGGTGCCCAAAGCTATGGCCTTCTTTGTGGTGTGCTTGAAGGTGACTGTCGTAACGTTCGAAACGTTGATTGTGTGGACTAAACGGATGTTTGTCTTGTCTCTCGCTGAGAAAATTTGGGGTTTTTCATTTTCGCGTAAAATTACGATGTAGCTGTTGTCGTTGCACGTGGACACTTGGATGATTTTGGAGGTGGAGGGGATTTGGGGGAGGGGGTGGGGGTCCACGCCCTGGGGGCCGTAGGGGTGGATTTTGAGGGCGAGACTCGCGGAGATTAACATTTGGGGTAATTTTGTGGGAATTTACACTGACAGGTGTCAAGGGGTTGCGGGGTGACGGGGTCAATGAGCATCATTCTTGATTTTTGGAATTTCTCATTTTTTGAAAATCTAAATACCTAAATCTTAAAAAATCTTAAACAAAGTCGAAAAAAGTGCACATTTTTTTGTCCGAAAAATTGAAATGTAATTGTTGGAAACTGAATTTTAGAAATCTAGAAACTTAGAAACTGAAAATTTGAAAGTTCAAAAACAACCGTTTCTGAAATAAAAATCTAAAAATAGAACATTTCAAACTTTTGAAATAACGAAATTTTAAGATT